GGGACTATTATCATTAACCATTAACCATCACATTCACAAGTCCTTCTGATCAGTAGCTAGCTTATTTGTGTATGCTGTCATTACTTTGAGGATGTTGTGAATAATTGTGTCAAATAGTTTAGCTTGAGTACAAAGTTGTAGTTTAGGGAAGAATTTTCTTGGTTTAGATTGTTTGTCCTGTGAATATCCATTTAACTACGAGTGCATGCTAACTATTTTAAATTCCGTGTGGTGATTATCGTAAGTCCCGTTGTTCAGTTTGCTTGAGGACAAGCAAAGGCTTAAGTGTGGGGGAATCTGATAAGTCCGTATTTAGACACGTATTTGATGCGTGTTGGGATTGGATTTTGATGGTTTTCCTAGATTTAAGTTGTTGCAAGTCTTAATTTTAGCTCAAGTTATGTTTAACATGCGTTGGTTCAAGTTTTGTTGCATTTGGAGTCAAAATGAGGAATTTAGAGTTGAACATCGGCACTTGAGGAGCAATCGGGATGATTCGAGATGCATTCGAGAGTGGATTGAGAGCTTTGGAGGTCACCGGGAGGATTCGATATGAGTCTGCTAAACAACAAGCTGCTGCTATTGCATCTCCATGATTTCATTTATCCAATTTTAATTCCCAAAATAAGTAAGTTTGGGTCCATGGGTATGCAGGCTGTTTGCTTAATAACAGCCTTATATACAAAGGAAATAATATATTAGTAAGACTAGGCTATTTTATTCTTACAAAGGAAAAATAACAAAAGATCAATTTATGTGTAAGAAAAAAAACAATATACACTTGCATGGAACATTTAAACACTTACCTTGAGTTTCAATTTTCTCTGCACGCAATTCTTCAGGTGCCTCTTGTAGCTAGTTGTGGTACCCGATTTAATCAATGCAAAATGGCGTGAACAAAAAGTACACATCGCCTTGTTAACCCCTTTTACCATGACAACTTCAAAATCATCCCATACATCAGATGTCTTTTTCCTTTTCTTTATTTGAAACTCCTCTTCTTCAGCATTTTGTGAAGTTCCATGGCTGGCTACAGCTGGTTCTATTCTTTCAACTTGATCACTTTGTTCTTGTAGCTCATTACTTTCAACGACTACACTGCTTGGGGTGTGTGGATTTAGTTGAATGGATGCATTTTCTGTAGACATGCTTGATGAAACGAATACCTAGTCTGTAGAAGATTAAATCAATTAGTTTGTGTACTATCTTTTTCAAGAAGAAGAGATTAGTACTCCTTTATCATTTTCCCACAATGAAAAGGATGTTAGTCTGCACTTATATAAACTAAAACATTAGAAGCTAAAACTTGAAAGCCACTCATAAAAGCTTCTAATTAAGTGGCTAAAGGCCTAACGTCTCTGTTATGAATTTCTAATAATGATATGTATTGAATCAAAGCACTACGAAAAAGCTAAGTCAATACAATCAAACAACAAGGAATCAAAGCAATAATCCAAAAATTCCCAAAACTGAAAGCAAAGGGTATTGCTTCGCAAAGCTCTTCCAGTTCGCGGAGGAGCTGCAGGAGATATTTCCTGGCCTCTGCACCGGCGTATTTCATTGTCTTAATAATAAATATAATCCGACTAGAACAGAGGACGGTGGAAATACCTAATTGAAGCGAGTTGTACTGGTGGAGAAGCTCGAGATAGACAAGCTACTTGGACGCTTCTTGCTACTGTGAGTATCACGCCATCGCTACTTGAGTAGTTGAGTACTTGAGTTACGATACAAGATGTCTGGGCGAGAGAGGAGAAGAGAGACTAGAAAAACTTCATCGGATTAATAGTTTTAGGGTTACACATTTTACAGGGAGTTTAGAAAATAAGCCCACTTTAAACTTTTAATCAGGCCTATTCATAAAATATATTAAATATATATAAATATATGTATAATTATAGTATGGCTCGCGAACCGGCTCGCGAGCCACGAGCCAAGAATAATAGTGCTCGAAAATGGCTCGACACCTTACCGAGCTGGCTCGAGTTCGGCTCGAGTTCGAACATGACCGAACTCGAGTCGAGCGGTGACCGAGCGATTCTCGAGTGGCTCGCGAGCGGCTTGGCTCGTGTGCACCCCTAGTAAGAATAATGTTCAGCAGCAGGATGTTCATGGATCATATCTAAAAATCCCCAATACTGATCAGGAGATCCTAAGCAAGGCCCATTGAGGAAACGAAATTTGCAAACTTCTCGAACAGGAACAAGACACACCAGATAAATAAATATAGTATAGGGTGTGAGGAAAGTGTTGAAAATACCCGAACAGTGTGATTGGATGACATGGAAGAAAATACCCGATAAATACAGCGTCCCGAATGCCGAACGCGATTCCAAACATTTTAGAAGGCTTGCGAACATGTTACTAGGAAAATTACATCAATAACACCCCGAACGGGCATCGGAAGGAACAGGAAAATAACGGGGTACCAAAACCAAGGCGAATCGCAGGAACGGCTAAAGTCCTGAAAAGTTGGACTTGCGCCAGCAAAATCTGTGTACCGAACGGGGGAACTTGTACTGGAGCATTGTGTAACACCCCCATTTTCCCTCCCAAAATAATACTTGAAAGAATAGATTTATTGATAATAACTTGATTTATTCTTTCAAACAGATAAAAAGTTTTGCAGCGGAAATAACATTAATTGGGAAATGGGTGTTACCGCCACATCCGGTCATCTCTTAACCGAATGCACAGGCAATCACCAAACAAAGTAAAGAGTAAAACAAGTGTTCAACATAATTGGATTGTTTATTTATGACTAGGTTTGACTAAGGCATCTCTAAACCGCTCTCGTGGTCATACAATCATCAGTCCACATAAGCATCATCACCTGCACAAATAAAGTGCAGAAAACAAAACAAAGGAAAGGAAACAAAAATTAGCTTTAGAGCTAAGTAAGTACTACCCAACCCCGTAAAATAATCAGGTTTGGCTAAAAATAGTTTTTCATATAATACTATATAAAAATGACACACTCCACCAAAATCCTTTTCTCTTTGATATTTCTCAAAATCACTTCTTTAATAAAGTCTTCAACTTTTCTTTGAAAATACTATAGTAACTCTTCTCTTAGAACTTCTCAAAATTCACTTCTTCTCTATCTTCCTAGTAATTTAGAAGGGCGGTGCTCAACACGTACTCTGGTTGAGCCCGGTGGTTACGTTGTTATGTACGGCCACCCCGGGACTTTTGCCGGTACCACAACTGCTAATGGAAACGAAACGACTACCTTAAGTGTGCACACCCCCTAAAAGGGATTCCAAGCCCTCCGAGTAGTAAGTCGTCACGAGTAATCGGGACTCAGTCTACCAACTACCCCACCTTTAAAATTCTTGAATGATTAGGGACTACTACTATAACTTCTTCTTAAAAGGGATCATAGATCCAAACGTCACTTCAAACTCAAACTGTACTTCTTAGTAGTAGTAGCCTTAATCACCCTCCACATTTATCCGGATGTGGAAAACCGACACCACGGATTTCTCCCGGGTGCTCACTTCTTATGAAAACGTAAATTTTATCTTGACTTTAAATATACTTCCAAAAATTATTTCCCAATCTCTCTAAATAGTCTCAAGAGTATTTAAAAATATTTAATACCCAAAAGAACTTCGTTTGCACTTCAAAAATACCATAAATCTAATATCTCTTCAAAATCACATACACATAATTCAAAATTCACTCTTTATCACAAAATGCATAATAAGCATATAATACGAGGAAATCATTTTGGATCGGCAGAGAAACTTACCTCCATTCACGATAAATCTTATTTGAAGCTTCTATCGATATCGTCTCCAAAATCACCTTCTAGAATATTGAAGTTATTGAATTAATAATTTATTTATCAATCGAGTTTAATTAACCCACTTTAGTTTAACTCGTCTTCATTATTCGGCTCAATTAGAACATATCTGCTTGTTTCGTTTTGCCTAAATAACTCAGTCCATAGATTTATTTATTACTCCGTATCATTTTATACTAGTAGCATATCTAATCCTAATAACAATTTAAAAGAAAATTGACGCTATCAACTTTATTATCAAATATCAAATCTCTTAACCCATATTGATTTTATCATTATTAGTACTCTGTATCTACCTATTATTATTACTCGGTCCAAATAACTGTTTAAGCCCAGTGCATTAGTTTTATTATTATTATTTCTAGTTTAACTCAGCCTAAACTATTAGACAAAACAGAGTAATAGGAAGTATAAAAGTACCGATTATATCGTACTCTTGTTCCTCACTCGGTCAGCAATGGTGCGACGCAGGCCCGCTCTCCGGCTTCCTTTCCACTTCTGCCGTGGCAGTCAGGCATCAAACTAAGAACTCCGGTGGCAAGGAGTGGTCAGCCGTCAGTCCGGTCTCCAGTAGTCTTGCTTCTTCCGGCGTGAAGAACTAGTCCGGCGAACTGCGGCGAGTGTGTTCTTCCTCTTCCGACGATCTTTTCCAACGTTTCATCCTTCGTTCGCTTCCTCTCGCAATGGAAAATGGGTTAGAAGTGTTCTCACTATCCTTCGTTCGCTTCCTCTCGCAATGGAAAATGGTTTAGAAGTGTTCTCACTCTCTGGGTTTAGGTGTTACGAAGGGTAGAAAATTCTGTATATACAAATACGAAGTAGTATATATGTGTATATATAGTGTTCGCAGGTTGGAATGATGGAAATGAAGGTCCATGGGCATGCAACGATAATATGTGATGGCTGGATAATATTTATGTACATAATGTGTGATGGCTGCAATAATAGGCATGTGGGTTTGCTGCTCTCACACAGGTAAGTCCGTACCTATATTATTGTGTATATACAGATCGATTCCAAGCATGTCACATGTGTAGTAGGTACTACATTTATATATAATCAATCATCTTATTATTTTATTATGCATATATATATATATATATATATATATATATATATATATATATATGGGTAAGCATTTACGAAATACATATTTGTTTGAAAAGTTAATTCATTGTTATTTTCGTGTGGTATTTAGTGTACTTTTGTACATATATTATTAACCAATATCTTTGATTCAAAGTTGTTAAATATGTCACTTTTGTTATTTATATCATATGTATAATTATCACATTTTTATAAACATGCCACTTTTGTTATTTAAGTCAAGGTTCTATTTGTCAACATAATTATTATAAAAATGTCACTTTTATTATCGAAATATTTTATCTGATTAAAATGTCACCGATGTTAAAATTTTATCTGATTCACTTGATTTTAAAAAATCACTTTCGTAATATTTTGCTAACTAATAAAATTTATTTATTTTATTTTATTAAATTTTTCGAGGTGTCACACATTGCGTGTCCAACAGAGTACAAAAACCAAAGTAAAGTGCAGAAATGGTTAAGTCATAAATAGTGGACTTACACTAGCAAAGAATACAGGCCCAACAGGCGGAAAGAAGCGCAGGAATGATTAAGTCCTAAACATTGGACTCATGAATATAATCTCAAACACCCTCCCGATCGCTAGGACAAAGCCGGGCGAGAATGGGAGTCGATAAGTCCGCTAAGGTCAAGAACAGAACAATGCATAAATTAATTATAGAGGCAAGTTGATGGACAAAAAGTTTTGTATTCATCGGTTCTACTGACCGGAAATTACAAGGGATATGCCGAAGGCAAGAAATGAGAATACGAAAGGAAATAACTAATCTACTGATCGGGGTTGTCCTCGCCCTCCTCCTCATCCTCATCCTCATCTTCATCAACAGCCTGGACGATCTCCGTTCCCAGGGCCCGCCTGCACTTGTTGATCTGAGCAATCAAGGCGTTCCGATGATTCGGGTTTAGGTCCGGGAAGTCAGATGGTTGCACCGGTCGACCCAGTTGCCTTTCCAGAAGGGGGGGAGCGGCTGGAGCATGTGCTGGCATCCGGAACCATAGACCCCCCGGGTAAATGCTTCGGCCCATTCTTTGGTCACCTGATGCTGATCAAGAACCCTCACCCCCTCCTTCTGACATTCTTCGCCGGTCAGCTTAGCCAGATGCTCCCCAAGGAGGGTGGGAAGCTGCTCAAAAGCATACGCCCGGAATTCGTCCGAAGCCTTGAAGTTCTCCCGAACGGTAGAAAGGTCGGCAGTCACCTCCGGGGGGCGTCCGGGATTTGGGAAGGAGATTCCGAGAATTTCACCTGAGCGGATTCGGCTGCCGCCAGATATGCTTGGAGGGAAGCCACCCTCACATGGAGCTCCCCAAGTTCGCTCTCCAGCTTCTTCTGGACCTCGGTGGCTGCCTGTCGTTCAGTCTCTGCAGCCTGAGCAGCCGAAGAGAGGGAATGTACAGCTTCCTCCCTCGCCACAATCAGTTCCCGCTCTTTGGTCAGTCGAGCCTCGCGGATCTTCAGGCTGTATAACCCTACCTACATCCGGTTAATCAGGGTTAACGGGATGAACATGCAAGCAAGAAAGGAAACATGGGAAAATAATGTAGAAATTACCTTGAGGGCAGCCAAGGCTAAACATTCCTCGGCTTCCTCAACCGGGAGCGGGGGAAGGGAGAAGTCGTTGAGATCGACTGACGTGGACCAAATCCGGCTCGCTGGACACCCCCCCCCCCCCCCCCCCGCTCCAGCATATCGTGAGCAGGATCTTGGAGGGAAATCCTCTGAAATTGCCTGGCCAGGTCTGCTTGGTGAGCGGCCACTTCCTCAGCGGAAAAGCTGTGAAATTGCTGATCGGAAAAGAACTAGCCCATCAGCATATCGGCGTGAGAGGGTTGTTGATCGGGGATTACCTGCTGAACAGGCTCAATATCCTGAGCAGGCTGAGGCCGTTCAGGAGATGGAGGGGCAACTTGGGAGGAAGTTGCCTGTTCGGCTTTCCTCAGCCTCTTCCTCTTTGGTTTTTTCTTCTCCTGAATAGGAGGAGGAATCTCCTGTTCATCTTCAACATCACAGGAAAACAATCTGCTGTCATCCATAACTGCTGGCTGATCGGGAGTTGCTCCTTCGAGATCTGAAGTTTCGCCTTGATTGAGAGCTGAAAATAAACAAGGGGAATATTAGTACCAAGCGGTCCGCACATGGATAAACAAAATGTTTTTCACACAGGAAGGACCGCCCGGGCCATGGTACTTGGTTTTCAGTCAAGTAAGTCCAGGAGTTCGGGCAGTACCTATCCCGGCCTTGATAAGCCGTTTGGGAGTCAGGTAGGACATGATCTTGAAGCAGCCACCAGCCTCCACAGCAATGATGTCCTTACTAAGATCTTCGGAGATGAAGGGTTCAGGGGATTTGGGAGGAAAGGCATTCCATTTCTTGGAATTAGGCCGTTCGGGACAGAGACAAAGAAGAATCTATCCTTCCAACCCTTGATGGAAGAAGGAGCTTCACGGAACAAGATATGCCCCGTTCGGGCACTCACTACCAAAAACCCATGGGACTGTTGAGGGATGACCGAGAAAAAATAGTGAAACAGATCAAGAGAAGGGGTCACCTTGGCACCCGCACAACGACAGATGAAACCTGCCATAGCTCGGTAAGAGTTCGACATGATTTGGGCCGGTACTATGCCATAAAAATTGAAGAAAGAGATGAAAAAGGGTGAAGTGGGAACCTAAGACCAGCCTTAAGGGAGTCGAAATGGACCACAACCATCCCAGGGAAGTGGCGCATTGGGTGGAGGCCCGCTTGAAGGCGGAAATCCACAGAATCAGGAATCAACATTTGAAATTGGGCCCTGTTTTGGGCCGTAAGTTTCTGGCGCCTAAACCTGATGAGTACTAGGTCAAGTTTATGACAGGGGACGCCGTTTGGAGGACCAGCTTCCATAGCCTCCAGCTCGTCCCCAGAATGGGTACCATCGGAGTAGGCCCGGGAAGGAGAAGCATCATCGTCGGGATTCGGGAACCTCCGCAGAAATGGCGGCCATATCTGGTACAACGTTATCCTCTGGAGAACCGGCGTTTGAAGCAGAAGGTTCGGAAGAATGGAGACGGGGAGCCATACTGACCGAACGACGAAATTAAAGGAGAATAGTCCGGAAGGTACCTGAACAAGAGCTACAATCAGAATCTAGAGAGAAGCAGAGCAGCAAGCCGAGGAATGCGAAGTTTCGAAACCCTGAATCGAAGTTGGAGAAGTCTATTTATACTCTGTCACACTGAATCAACGGCCAATCAGAAAAAGACACGTCTCCAGTAATAATGACAGGGACACGTGTCATGCGGAGAGTCTTTCCCCAGTAATAATGACGGTTATCAGGGAAGCAAAACGGCAGCCGCATATAACCGTCAAAATATGCCTCGGGAACCGGCGGAATACCATCCGATATTCACCCGAACAGCATTCGGGCAATAATCTTCTACTTCCTTATGCACTCACTACCGTTCGCGACATAGGAAGTGGGGGACTAGTGTTAGGATATTGGGTCCAGGCCCAATATCCCTTAACCCAAATCCGGAAAGAAGTAACAGGCCCAAAGCAGCCCCGAGTTCCCGATCAGCCTTCGGGGCGAATCATCTACTTGGAGCATCTCAGGAAACAATCACGCCAAAGCACCAAATAGCTGGTTCCCGAACGGGGTTCGGGATACTCTTCATAAACAAGATAACATCTATGGTAGGGTCCCACTCACCGAACATTATACCCGAACGGGCAGTTAGCAAGTGGAAACTGCATTTAATGCTGGATCATGGCGCCTGCAAGTGGAGGCAGGGGTGCTTACCGGATTCAGCCACGTGGCCAGCTTTCCCATCCCCATTTTACTATAAATACCTGCATTAAGATCATTGTAAAGGGTTAGGATTTCAATACTCAGAACTTAGCAATAGATTTACGTCCCTTATCCTTGTATTCTCGTATTCATCTACCGTTCGGGTAGTTTCCTTGTAATTGCATAATTACTCAATACAAGTAAGCTCTTGAGTTGGATAATATCTCACTGTTATATTTTATACACTTTCCAAACTAACCCAATATCCCTACAATATCCAAAGCTTGTGTTGGGCTTTCGGATCTTCGGGAAAAAACTTCAACAAGTATTAATGAATTTGTTAGTTGTTTTGTTAGTTGAGCGTCACGACATTTTCATTAAGCATCAAACCTCCTCTATTAAAATTAATGAAAATCATGATTTCTATTAAATGAGCATTAATGAATTCTTAATGAGAATCATGCATGTACAAATGAGCATATGCAACTTTATAAAATGAGCATATGATCAGTATCAGATGAACATACGTAACTTACACAATGAGTATTAATGAATTTGTTAGTTGCTTTGTTAGTTGAGCATCACGAAATTTTCATTGAGAATCAAACCCCCTCTATTGAGATTAATGAAAATCATGATTTCTATTAAATGAGCATTAATGAATTTTTAATAAGCATCAAACCTATACAAATGAGCATATGAACTTACAAGATGAGACCACAAATCATGATACTCAAACACACGATTCTAATACTCAATAACGGGGGTTGGAGTAATATGCATTGATATAACATTTTAAAATGAACATAACAGATGTACTAAATGGTAATTTACAAAATGAGTCTTCAAAAAATCAAAAGCTCGTTTGTGTATGTTCATTTTATTTAGGCATTTTACTCATTTGAGTTTAAAATAAAACTCATTTCTAACATGCTCGGTATTTATGGAGTAATATATAAAGCAAAAAAAAGAAGGAAACAACAAATAAAGAAATTAAATGAAATAAAAGAAAAAAGACAAAGTAAAAGAAAGTAAAAATACAAAAGTAACGAAAAACATAAAATCAAAAACACAAAATTAAAAAGGTTATAGAAAACCAAGTATGTAGGAAACGTATGTGTTTATTATTTTGCTCTGCTTGTGTAAAACGAACTATCATGGCGACGTGAGTGCGTGACTTTGATATCCAGATTTGAACAGGACTATCGAATTTGATTTTCCGAAGCCTTGCTCCTGGCTTATATGCGATGGCGGCGGAATAAGAAATTAAAGCAACTGAGAGCGAACAGATGATTCAGCCTGCCACGTCATTTAAAAACCGGGTGTACATGTACACCCGGGTGTATAATATAATTTGCCTATTAATCTATGGACCGTCAATATACCAATAAAGGAATAACCAATATTGTCTCAACCATAACTTTTAGTCGAACTTTTATACAATTCTAACTTAGTAACTTTGATTTGTTTATCTCAAAACTTGTTGCTTAAGCCAAACACACAGTGCTAGGAGAGGGGTGAGGTCATGAGGGGTTGAGGCGTGAGAGAATCCTATGGCCGTCTCATTGTTTGGGGAATTGCCCGTTGTATTTCAGTTTCAACTTCCAAACTATTAAAAACGAAATAATCTTTTTATATTACTAATACTTTGTACTTGTACTATTTTGGAGGCCATCCTCAATTATGAGGCCCAAGGCAATTGTCTGGCTTAACTCCTTCAAGACTGCCTCTAAGGAGGAGAAGAAGAAGGAGCAGAAGAAGAAGGAGAAGAGGAGCAGAAGGAGAAGAGGAGAAGCAGAATCAGGAGGAGGAGGAGGAGGAGGAGGAGGAGGAGGAGGAGGAGGAGGAGGAGGACTATAAAGGAGGTCATGGAATGAGAAAGTAAATCAAGAACCACTCGTGAAGGTAAAATACTACTTTAAAGAAGGTAAATCAAGACTAAGAATAGTCTTGATAAATGAGAAAGTAACATTTTGTCTTAAATTAATAAAGGGTTATTAATTTAGACGTGGAACCACTCGTTATATTCTAAGTTTATTTATAAAATATTAATGTTTACCGAAATAATACTATTATGATAATAGGGATGGGTCATGGACCCCAGTTATATAAAGAACGACAACTTGACGGCCAAGTGGGCCGGAGTCACTAATCGATAATTGTGTGCCATTAATTATCGGACTAATAATAATTCGGAAGGCTACGAATTAATAACAGAAGGAATATAAATATTTTAAGAACCCAAAATATGGGATGATGGATAATAATGAGTAACTTGACATATTAGAGGTGGGTATTTTTGGAGGACCCTACCTAGCTTGAAGATATTTTCGTATAAGAATAAACAGATAAGATTTTATTTGTTCATACAGTTCGGACCACTTAAAAATAAGTGTAACATTTTATTAAAGTGTCACAAAATATGAAACCACATATTTAGTCATTAGAAATGATGAATGAATTTTTGAAGCAACGTGTTTTCATTTTTACTGTTACTTGAACAGTAAAATACACGTTGGGCCCACACATGAGCGGGGACCATCTGATGTTTACGGACCACATATAATATTAATCTTGGTCTAGATAATATTTATATGATGGTGTAAATTAAGGTTGAGCCATAAAGTTGGCCTTTCAATTAAACGAGGTCCCATTATTGGTATAAGTAATTTTTCACATAACAACCCGAAATAAATTTTGGGGGCCACTAAATTTAAGTTGGGTAATATATATTCATTTTAGAGGTCAATATTAATTGGAAGAATGATATATATTTTACTTAACCCGATAAAATAAAGTATAATTAAAACAGTCCGGAAAATACAACTTTCGGAGCCGAATGTACAATTCGGCGCTTAAAGGGATGACCTCCCACATGGGTGGGGGCCACCCCACGATTTTTTCAATAAATTAACTCTGGATTGACTCATGTTGGGGCTGTGAGACAAAAGAAAATGGGGGAAGGACCGAACATAATGTGCAATGGGACCATTTCCTATATAATTGAAGAACAAAGCCAAAAAGATTATCATCTCACCTAACCACTCCCAAAATTTCGGCCACACACTCTCAAGGAGGAGGAGGAGCTCTAAAAATATCATCCTCCATAGCCATGAACCGAGCTCAAGATTGAAGAAGGCTCGAGGAAGAAGAAAAGCTTGGAAAAGAAGAGAAAAACTTAGAAAAATCAAGGTAATGACTTCATTAGTATTTTTCTTCCTTAATTTAATATCATATGATTTTATAAATCATATGAGGGACCCTTAATCTTGTTCTACACTTCTAGAGGTGTAGAATGAGGATTTGGAAGGTTAAGTTTAACCATAAATGGAGTTATGACCGGAGTAAGACCGGTTCACCGGAAAACACCTTCTCGGAAGGTTTTGATGTTTATACCACTTTTGGTTGTGAAACCTTGTTAGGAATTTTACCAAAATATTCTAGACTTCTCAGGGAATCTAGGAGTGAACGGAAAAGTCATCGGAGCCGCCGGAGTTTTCACCGGAAAATTCCAAAAGCCGTCGGAGTTTAAAAGTAGGAGGATAAAAGCTTGCTAGCGTCATTTCGAGGTGAGTGGGCGACTACGTGTCTTGTAACTCTTGGTTCAAAACGTGGGATTACCTAAATAAAATCATAACCATGATTTGAGAAATGATTAAATGTATTAAAATACATGATTAGTCATGGTGAATTTGGCTAATGAAAAAAATAGATTAATGTATTAATTAATCATGAATATATTTTTCTCAAATATATAAGAAGGTATATTTGGACCATGCATGAAACTAACTAGAGTAATCTAGTACATAAATATATGAAAAGATATGTGAACTTGTGATTATCTATACTAAATATGGATTGTGGAAATATTATATGATTAATGAAAAATAGATTAATTTATTAATTAATCATGAGTATATTTTCTTAAATGAATAAAAAGGTATACTTGAACTATGTATGTGATTAACTAGAGTTGTCTAGTAAGGAAATATAAAAAGGATATGTGATCTTGTGATTAGTCATATTAATTATGGATTATGGAAATAGATAAGAGATCAAATACAAACCATGCTTAATATACTAACCTACAAACTCAATAATATGTAACACTTTGAACTTTAATATGCAGTACAAATAATGTAAAGATGCACACTATAAATTTCAATATGCAATACAAATAATATGCAGCACTTTGAACTCCAATATGCAGTACAAATAATATGTGGCACTTTGAACTTCAATATGCAATACAAATAATGTAAAGATGCACAGTTTGTGACAGTTTGTAGGTTAGCATGAGAAGACTAGTTTGTATGTGATCTCACCCCTATGGAAATATGACATAATTAATGATTAATCAATTAGTGGTATGAATAAAAGGTTGTAAGAAAGGATCATGAGCCATGCTTTGGGCTTGGGCATGAGATTACTCAAATAAATCAGAATGATATTCCATGAAATGTTAAAATACATCTAAGAATGTATTAAGGCAAGATTTACTTATTAATGGTATTAATAAGTATACTTTATATGCTTTAATTTGGACAGAAAATGATTATAAATTATGTGTAATGATTTGGACGTCCAAAATGATTTTTTGGACTAAGAATGACTTGTTGTATAAGTGTATAAATTTCGTGGAAATCGGACTCCGTTTGGATGGTCAAACGGGAGTTGACTAAAGTTATTGGCCGTTGACCGGGCGTTGACCGGCGCCAGTTAGGAGACGTCCAGTCCCGATTCAAAACACGCGGTCTTGGCCTTTGGTGGTAGCAACGTCCGGCGCCGGTTGGGCAAAGTTCGGCGCCGGTTGGGTGAGATTTTCTGGCGAGCATTATATAAGTCCGGCGCCGGTTCACATATGTTCGGCGCCGGTTGAACTGAATTTTCGAAGAAATAAAACGTATGTCAGGCGCCGGTTGAGGCATGTCCGGCGCCGGTCGAAGCTGTTTATTTCCAAACGATGGTTCGGATCAGATAGTCTGTGTGAGGCTAGCCCGTGGTTTGATAGCTTAAGTTGGGTACCAACTTTAAAATTATATTTGACCTATAGTTGACCGAGGGTTATCACGACTAAGGTCGGTAATGTAATTGTTAAGTTTAAATGTCCCGATTAGTAATTCGGGTTCTTGCGGGACCCGACACTAGTTGTATGAGCATGACTTGGACCCGGAGCGGTCCATTCATGGTTTGGCGTAGACGGGAAGCCTTGATAAAGGTTAGCCCTAAGTTGATTTGAGTATGATGATACAAACTATATTGTTAAAGACCTTGCACGGCAAGATAAGGTAACAAGGGCAAGTGTAGTCCTTGAGGTGTGTTTAACCTCCAGTAAAATACACATAGGTAACAAGGGCAAGTGTAGTCCTTAAGTTGTGTTTAACCTTTAGTAAAGTACGCATAGGTAACAAGGGCAAGTGTAGTCCTTGAGGTGTGTTTAACTTCCAGTAAATTACACATAGGTAACACGGGAAAATGCAGTCCTTGAGATGAGTTAACCTCCATCAAATTGCATATAGGTAACAAGGGCAAATGCAGTCCTTGAGGTGTGTTTAACCTCCATCAAATTGCATATAGGTAACAAGGGCAAATGCAGTCCTTGAGGTGTGTTAATCTCCATCAAATTGCATATAGGTAACAAGGGCAAATGCAGTCCTTGAAGTGTGTTAACCCTCCATCAAAGGGCATATAGGTAACAAGGGCAAGTGTAGTCTTTGAGGTGTGCTTAACCTCCATCAAATTACACATAGGTAACAAGGGCCCGTGTAGTCCTTGAGGTGTGTTAACCTCCAGTAAATTACACATAGGATGAGGGTGTATGCGTACTCCTCAAGGCGGGGTTAACCCGGAAATGAAAACTATGATAGCAAGGACGGATAGTCCTCGAGGTAGGTGAACCTCAAGGTAATGATTTTAAACGATTAAACGTGCTTGATTGGGAACGAGTTTCCGATAGGATATTTTCCTTGGTCTAGAAATTGATTTAAACCACTTCCGTGATATGGGAGTCTGAAGGGCTCCACAGTAATTATATTTTGATATCGGGTGAGTTAGCCTGCGGGTGACTCCACTCGAGGGTAAGACATGGGAAGGGTGAATTTAATGAGGCTGTTACACCTTAATGATTTGAAAGACAAATGGGCCCACGGGCCGGATATTTTACTCATATGTATATATGTAACTTTTTGTTTTGAAAAGGGGTAGCTAAGAGTTATGCCCATAATTATACTATCACCCTATTTTGAGAGTCTCACATGAGAAACGTTAGTTACATTACATACAGTTTGCCCTCGCCAGTACTTTTCTGTAGTACTGATCCCTCGGGGGAACCACCCTTTCAGGTTGAAGCTAGAGCTTACTTCCTGCACCCGTTGTTCGGGAGATCAATGGAGAGAAGACGTGGTTCGTGCTTCTTCTGGTTCTGTTTCTAAATAATGCTCATGGAACTATTTTCACTTATAAATTAATGGAGCCTGCGAGCTCTTGTTTTATCTTTGTGTGTGTTCTTATTAAACACTTATATTCCGATATGTGTCGTATTGTATGTTGATGTTGTTATGTATGTTTACTAATCGATTTTGGCATATGTATCTATCAGACGTCTTGTATAATTCGGTGAGGATGAACTGCGGTTATTCTTATTGGGTTGTACGACGGTTGTCCACGTGGCACAGACGCGGTCTGGGGCGTGACATTATCTATGAGTTACCATAAAATTATGGTCACAACTAAAAGGATGTAAAAAGAGAACTCGAGTTCACGACATATCGTTCTTCTAATATCTAAAAACTTGAAGAAGAAACAAGCCAAATTGTGGATGCTAAGAGAACGAAGAGAAGAGAAGAAAATCGTAATACAAAAGGTTAGGGAGGCTAAGAATGTGTAGCAAAGATGAATATATTCAACTATCCGTAGCGAAAATGCTGAATGGGTTGAATGATCTAGGCTAATAGCAGTGTGGGCTTAAGTGCTAGGTCGCGGCGTTGACTCAAATATCATGTGAACAACCGTTTTCGATACGTCTTTGAATTAAAAAGATTACGAAGTGAAAAAAGTTGAAAGCTCGCAAGATCGATTTTTGAAAATTGATTTTGGACGAGGCGTTGACTCGAATATGTGGATACACTGACTCTATTATGTAGAGATGCTGACTCAAATATGTGGAGACATGTCACCAGCTCAAAAGAGTGTAAAAAATATCATGGACACTTTAAGATAAAAATGTAATAATAAAAGTGTGGGGAAACTGTCAAATAGGTCCTCAAACTTTCATAAAAGGGTCAAATACGTCCTTATATAGGAGGCTTTATCCGGTCGTCGCGATTTGGGGCGGTTCTCGGTGAAATTTTTGATAAATTTTTTTGAACATCTTATTCATCAAGTCTAGTTTACTCATACCAAATTTCAGCTAAAACTTCAATCGGAAACGCATTCAAATGAATTCTTGAAGATAATTGTTTCGTTAAATGCGCAGTTATCTTCAAGAATTAATTTGAATGCGTTCCCGATTGAAGTTTTAGCTGAAATTTGATATGAGTAAACTAGACTTGATGAATAAGATGCTCAAAAAAATTTATCAAAAAATTTCACCGAGAACCGCTCCAAATCGCGACGACCGGACAGAGCCTCCTATATAAGGACTTATTTGACCTTTTTATGAAAGTTTGAGAACCTATTTGACAGTTTTCCCTAAAAGTGTGGAGAATGAAACACCAAATCACAACATGAGGACTATGGTCAGAAGCTTGAATCGTTATCATCTTAGAAACCCTAAATTAATGTTCGTCTATATATGACAAGTCTGGTCTATGAAGTTTTTATATGGGTGGATTAAGCTGGACTCTTATAAATGAGACTTTTATACTCAAGATGAGGAAATGCCTAGAACTTTGATAACATATTTTTTAAACAAATTTCTTTGATGTATATTACTCGTGAGTCTTCCCCTTAACTACTTTCATTAGTGGCTCGATCAAGTGGTTAAGTAGATAAATATCGATCAACAACAATGAGTTATAATTAATGTAAGGACACACATAGTAAGAATGATCAAAATTCAACATTAGGATCCACACAAAAGCGACTATGAGCATGTAGTCCTGGACTCGGGCCGGGTGGCCCGACCCGAAACCGGCCTGGGACCGGTACTGTGCTGAACCGGCCCGGCCCGGTGGCCCGGCCAGTGACTGGTCCGGGTAGGCCCGATGCGGGCTCGAGTCACCCAAAAGCCGAACCGGCCCGGCCGGTTCAGGCCTGGTTTCGGGCTTTTTAAATTTTGTTTTCCAATTTTTTTAACTTTTCGGGTTGGATTGGGTATTTTGGACCATTTGGGGTGGTTTGGGGTTGTTAATTAAGAAAAGGGGGAAAAAATTGACCCGAGGCCCGGACCCGAACCAGACCCAATGGCTACCCGGGCCCACCTATTCAGAACCGGCGGCCCGCCCGAGCTTAGGCCCGGCCCGGACCCAGCCCTGTGAGCATGCCTTTAGGGTTACTAGAATTCTATACTCAATAGTAGGGTCCACACTAAAGCGACTAAGGGAGGCTTCTTGTTGTTCATCGTTTATCCCCTTCATAACTACACATATACCAAGAACTCCATCCGCCCGTCGCATTCTAATAAGCTATGTAGACAAAGTACTCCATATGTTATGGTAGACATTTACCAAAATTAAGTGCTTGTCGAGATACAAAAATAGTAGTGTTATATTTGTCTCGAAAAATCAAAGAAGGATTAGCATACACAAAAGGGATGGACTCATCATTTTGCTTTTTTCATTGCTAGCTTTCATGATACCTTTCCAAGCGATGGAGTGAAATCTCAAAACAATCTACAGTATTAAGAAGTAGTTTCTCGAAAATCATCTCTATTGTTGAGCACATTGAACTCTCTGGGCCCCACCATGCGCATGGTTATCATCATCATCCTCCTCGTAAGCCGCCTCCTCGCGCTTCCTTCTCATCTCCTCCTCGATGTTAACATTGTGTAAGGTCGTTTCTTCACATTCATCAATCTCCATCTCAGAATGCAGCGGATTCGGCCTCGGCGGGAGGATCGACTCCAACAGCTCAACCTGTTCCTGGCTCAGCGAATCGGGGAAGTCGACGACGAATCGGATGTACAGTTTTCCTTTGATGAACGGTCTCTGGTACGCCGGCATTCCTTCGTCATTGATCGCTTTGAATTCGTCTGGTTTGACTACTTCTCCAGGTTTGGATTTGATCAGGAGCTGCCTTCCGTCCAGGTGCGTGAGGATGAATGTGAATCCGCACAGAGCTTCGGTGAGCGAGAGCGTGTGATCCACGAACAGATCGTCGCCTTTCCTCTTGAACTTCGGATGCTCTTTCTGCTGGAGAACGAAAACGACGTCTCCGGTAATCATCTCAGGCGCTTCGTCTGCTTCTCCGGGAAAGGTGATCTTCTGCCCGTTCTGCATCCCCTTTTCGACATGAACTTCGAGAACCTTCTTCTCCTGGACCACCTTCTCGCCTTTGCAGATCTGGCAGCGGTCGTCTTTCCTGATGGTCTCTCCAGTGCCTTTGCATTCGTTGCACGGCTGCTGCATTTGCTGGATCATGCTCGGCCCCAGATGGCGGATTGTAACCTTCATTCCCGAACCTTCGCAACCGCCACACTTCGTTGAAGCTCCTGATTTCGATCCCTTTCCATTACACTTTGAGCAAATCACATTGCGGGAGAGGGAGAGCTTTTTGGTAGTTCCATTGTAGAGATCCTCCAGAGAGACCTTCATCGGATGAATCACGTCCTCTCCTCTCCTCTGCCTTCTTCCTCTCCCGCTACCACCACCTGTTCACCATTTTGTTGATCATATTAAACTCAAATTCGATGAATGCCAGACAATTCAACTCAAATCAGCCTCTGAATTACCTCCGAAAGGGTTTCCCCCACCGAAGAAGGACTGGAAGATGTCAAATGGGTCTTGCATTCCTTCACCACCGCCCATTCCTTCCTTGAGTGCGTCCTCCCCATACTCATCGTATATCTCCCGCTTCTCTGGATTGCCCAGAACTTCATAAGCTTGTGCAAGCTCCTTGAACTGGATTGGTATATCAACATTGAATATACAGATAGATTCAGTACAAGATCTCAACATCTCGAAGCATAAGTTTTAATGTATTATATTATAGAGGCCTTGACAGTAAACGCTACTCTGCATATATTTGTTAGGCATTTTAACTGCTTTTTTCAAATTAATGGAGAAAATCAGCAATTGGGCCTTGATTATAATTTCCTGAATTTATGAAAACTACTTTTATGAAATTTCTGCTCCAATTATTTGTGTGAGTACATATAATCTTCAAATTTGTTTTGCCAGTTTCACAATGTAGCATCTTCTAGCAACAATGGTTGGATATCATCACATCTAGAGACAGTGTGCCTACAATTTGATTACACATTCTAACTGTTTTGCGAGGAAATCATCTGAGAAATTCAAACAGGAAGAAAAACGAAATGCTTAAGAAGTAGAAGCTGGTATTGTACCTTTTCAGGATCACCGCCCTTATCAGGGTGGTTCTTAATGGCGGCTTTACGGTAGGCCTTTTTTATTTCATCCACACTTGCGTTCTTGGAGACGCCCAGAATGTCATAGTACCTGGTATTGTCACTCTTCTTTGGTCCTCTTCCGAACATTTTCCAGCTTCTTATTCCTTTTCCTCCTCAAATACAAAGATTAGCAGAAATGAGACTCCTGGAATGCAAGATTATGATGATTGGTGATTTTATAGCGCGCATGGACGGCTGGGATTCGATGTTGAGGATTGCACTGTTTGATGCTGGATTCGGCTGAAGAGTCCAGAAACCTCTCGGGTGAACAGCGAGACATGGTTCTAGAGCATTCTACAAGTCGCGGGAGCTCTTTCGTCAGGACACCGACCGTACGAGTCGGCCGAACGTTAACGGTTAATGAATCGTCAGTATACTCGCGGGAGCTCATTTTATTGGATCAATTGGTTCCCTGACAATAATTTTAATTATATACTCCTAGAATTTACGATTGGATCTGTAAAATCTGTCTGAAAATTGTTTTGCATGCGTTCTTGATTTTAATATAAAGTCGTCTGTTTTACGATTATAAAAAACTATCATTGATCCGCTAACAATAATTTTAATTATATACTCCATATTATTTATGTTAATTGAATGTGATTAGTACCCTTGAATTATGTCCATCTCTTATAAGCATAAGATGTTGTACATTTTGTTAAATTATTGTACTTATTTTTTCCATGGGTTTTTGTTGAGGTTTATTCCTTCAATCCTTGGACCCAACACGTAAGCCCAAAGATTTCGAGCGGAGTGAGTGTATGAATATCTAGCCCAACAACTATCCGATGGATCAGGAATCAAGAGTAATAGCAGGCAATGTAAATAGGTATTATTAACTTCGTAATAACTCCCCTAAGTACAATCTACTTGCTACAAGGGCACGTCGGCCGTTCGTCTTACAAGGCAGCTAGAAATGCTACAAGTAAGAATGCTGAAGCTAGTATGCTAAGAATAGAAAGTTGCCAACCCTTTACAATGAATTAAATGCTACTATTTATACCCGCCAATGGGCAGTTAGTCCTGATGACGTGGAGGATTGTTAGTGGCTGTGGCCCAACCACCAAATCTTCAGCATTAAATGCGCTTCCCGCCAGAATCTGGGTTTCCCGCCTATTTCCCGACCACGATCGTCTGGTAGAACGGAGGGCAATTCTCAGCAGGCGGTGGAAGGCCGGGTGCCGTTCGTCTGCGGCCCTTACGTAACAATCTTCTGGACCTGGGCCATCTACGGAGGTGGGCCTTGGCTGACGACGTTCGTCGTGGATGTGCTGACCGTCCTTCGGCTGGGACCTTGTGCTGTTATCCCGGAGATAAACACTCGTCCTCACTCCTTTGGGCCAGGATCACCCGTGGGCTAGGCGACGTACGTCGGTTTGGGGGTAATTGGGCCGAATCCCTGTGGTGGGCCCTTTACCCAACACAAGTCCCCCACTTCTGATGTTCCAAGCGCGCGTGGGACATAAGGAAGTATGCTGAGCCTCCTGGAGGATGCCCGTCTTCCGTACTTGCCTATTGGGAAATGGACGTACCTGATCGAAGGGCACCCCTAGTTGGGCGATTGCGGGTGAATCGAGGTGGCGGCTGGCGGCGAGACGGTGCAACTCCCGATGGGAGGTCATCATTACGCGTATCGCTTCCCCAGGTTGGATTCCCGCCAGGGTACGCTCCTCGCCATGTGTCGCTTCCTCATTCGTCCCCCCAGAGGTGCCTCCGCTATAAATACCAGAAATCCCCTGATGTCTAGGGTTTCTGATTTTTTGGCTTTCGCTTTCGAGTTCTCTTGCCGCTCCCCAGGTTTCCATCACAGCTTTCCAAGTTCGTCTTCAGGTTTTCTAAGGTAATTACTCCTCTTCTTCCTCGCCCTTTCTTTTAATGATGACTTCGATGGAGATCTCTTCAAGTTCGAGTTCTGGTTCCTCGGGCTCCGGCTCAGATTCTTCCTCCGATTCGGGCTCCCGTTCCTCCGGGAAAACCAGCGTTTCCGGCAACCCAGGTTCGGCGTCCACTGTGGGGACTATCCACGCCGACAGTGATCAAGGCGCAGACATTCCCGAAGGTGCCATTGAGGCAGTGCCTTTGAATGAGCGTGCGGCCGGGTATGATTCCGCGGATGAGGCTCAATCTGGCTCTGACCTGGAGGTGCACGATTTAGGTATCCCCATGGACGTGCAGAGGCACATTTGCAAGATTAAGAGTGTCTTAGAGCACAGGCAATCCCTCTCTAGCGTTGCTATGAACAAGATTGCCTCCTTCTTCCCCCATCCGTTCGTCTTTAGTCATAGCGGGGCTGAACATGCCATGCGGCGACGGCCGGGGATGATCATCCTGCATGTGGATTCTGTGGAGGCCGGTCTGCGGTTTCCTCTCCATCCCTTTTACGTGGAGTTCTTCAACTGCTACCAGGCGGTCCCCGGCGCAGTTCATGCCCAACTCTTACAGATTTATCTCCGCATTCCTCGTGCGCTGTTCGTCCGCGAAAGCCGTTATGTCCCTGGATCTGTTTCACTATTTCTACCGGGTAACTCCGCAGAATTCCGACGGTTACCTGAGTGTGGCCGCTCGTCCGAAGAGGAAGTTGTTCGAGCACTATCCTTCCTCCATCCATGATTGGAAAAATAGGCTCTTCTTCCTTAAATATGACGGTCCTCCCCTCCCAATCCGCTGGAACGGCTACCCCCCGAAGATTGAGTCGCCGGTGCTGACGGCCGAGCTGGAGGCGGAAGTGAACAAAGTCTTGGAAGGCGGCGTTCGCCCCATAGGGGAATACCTGACCCCCGAGGCACTCTCTGAAGCAGGCATAGGTACTGCCCGTGTTCTTGGATTTCTTCCTCCCTTGGACGCTCGTCTCGGGGCACGGGCGGTCCTGTCCTCTGAGGTGGGTGTTCCTCCTTATCCCTGTTCGTCTTTTCATATTCTTGTATTTCTCTCTTGCAGGTCTCCCTCTTACCGCCGACCACATGGACAACGCCGAGTGCCTGAGGAACAGGAAGGCGAAGATGGCCGCGGCCAAAGCGGCCAGAGAGGCCGCCGCCCACGGTGTCGGGTCATCGGCCTCTGACGCTGCCCGCCGGACTGCAGACGGTGAGCAGCATCTGATTGCCACCCTTCTGAATGAGGGGGCCATACCCCACCATGCTGAATCTGCTCTCCCCCCCACCGGTCGTCCCAACGAGAGTGGTTTCCAAGAAGGGGGGCGAGAGGGCCCCAGAGAAGAAGCCGAAGAGGGGGCGAGACGGTCCTTCCTCCGGTCCCGCCGTTGAAGATGCCAACGGTCTCTCCCTGAACCGGCCGGCGGAGGAGCTTTGGAGGGAGCTTGGGGCCAAGGCCGGCCTCGAACTGGCCCCCCCGGTCGTCTTCTGAAGCGACCAGCGCTGCTCTGGCAGCGGCCATCCAGGTATTGTCGCGATTCGACCCATCTTGTCTCCCTGACGCCCGTCGTCTCGTCATTTAACCTCTGTTCATCCCATTTCTTATAGTCAGGGCTGTTGGTGCTGCAAGCCGAGGCTGCCAGGGAGGCCGACCTGCAGGAGGCAAGGAGCAAGGCTGATGCCGCCATACTGAAGGCTCGGGAGGCCGCCCGTCGGGCAGAGGAAGAGGCTGCCTCAGCTAGGGGGGAGCTTCAGTCCCTCCGGGCCGAAACTGGCGCCCAACTGGCCTGTTTGGAGAAGGCCGGCTTCAAGCTTGTGCCGGTGCTCCCGGCCCCAAAAGGTGCCACCCCGGAGTGGTGCATCGACACCTCCGGTTACCGGAATACTGGCGAGTTCATGGATTCGGCCAAGGATTTCTGCGCCGGGGCCTTTGGTGACGTGTTCTCCCATGCCCTGGAGAAGATTCCGGCGAGGGACCGCCTGAAGTACGGCGTGCGGCTAATGGGAAGCTCCCCCTTATCGCGCCAATTCCTTTATGATTCCGCCGACAGTGCCTTCGCCGGTGGCTACAATGAAGGGGTCAAAGCCATTCTCCCCATCTTCGAGAAGCTTCTGGGCCCTGATGTCAATCCGGCCGACCATACGGATGAGGATCTACTGATCGAGGCCCTGGGGAAAATAAGGCGGGATAGGCGCCGAGCGGCGGCCATAGCCATGGGAGATATCCCGGAACCCCCGACTCCTGATCCCGAGCCGCAGGAGGAAGAACGCACTCATGCCAGCAGCCGGCCGCCGTCCCCCCACATGTGCTGATTTATTTTTTAGTCTAGCTTTTCTCCCGACCGTAGCGTGTAGACTTGTAGTTTCCAGCCGATAGTGCTGAAGAATAAAAATCCGAGTTTTGCCAAAGTTCGTCTTTATGTCCACGAGCTTTACTTCATACTTGTATTCCTGTTTCCTTTATCGCCTGTAGTATGGAAACTCGTTCGGCGCCTCGACACACCTTATATCCGGGTTAGAGTCCGAGAGGACGTCCGTATCTGTTCTGGTGCCGGCTTGCCGTCCACAAGGTATTCTGATAACGAGGCGATGTTCGTTGGTTGCTCATGACGTATACTTCCCAAGTGTGAGCCCACGAACGTACTTCCCCGAATCAGCGTTTGGTAACGACGTCCGTCTGTCGTTGCGTGACGTGAACATTCAAGCTACGTATGGGGACGTTCGTCCGTTCTACATGCTCCACTGGCATGAAGTAGGAAAAGACGAACGTAGTCCGTTGGTGCGTACGTTCCCCACTAGCCGTCAATATCAGGGACAGCCGATGGCCATGGTCTCCGGGTGTCCCGAGTTCCCCGCTGGACGTTCGTGGCTCCGATGCAGCCATCCTCGCCAAGATTATGCGGCGACGGAATCGAGGCACCTCCAATACCGCGGTAAGTACCGGTACCCAGGCGCCACGTGTCCCGCTTCGGTTGGTGTGTTCCGGCGGTGCTGCCTATAAGTATCCAGAACCCATGTAGTCCATTCATTCTTCTCCTTACGCTGCACAATTCTCTTCTCTCTCTAGACTTCTCTAAAACCGTATCGGAAGTCCCAAATTCCTAAGGTACCGTTCGTTGCCATGTCTTCTGAAAATCGTTTCGACGATGGCTGTTCTTCCGGTGATGACTTGGAATATTATGAGCGGGGAATGCCACCCTGGCCTCCCCGTTATAGCCTCAGCTTCTCGTACGTTCGGCGTCAAGTTCAACACTTGACGAAC